ATACCTTCACAAAAAAATTATTTTCAAAATAATATAAAAGTATGGTACACCAATTTTTCTTCATAATTCTATCAGTTCTGCTTATCCCTTTATAAAAACAATGATAGTATATGTTATGGTAAGGAAACAATAGATTCGTACTTAAGTTAATATAAATATCTTCCGATACTGTACAGAGATTTTTTATGATATAAGCCGGTCAACGAGCTGACGGATCACCTGATGGTAAGCAATCAGCGCCGCCCATGGATACCCGGCAACACCAGAGGCGGTCTATTGGGGTTTTGAAATATAATGGCATTCAAGAATGACTTTTTTTAGCAATACCAAAGGAATATGTAAGAATATTGAATCATAAACCAATAATAAATAATTAAAATGTTTATAAATTGCGAAAAAATATTACTTTTTAAGAATTTTAGCATGGACGACATTAAATATAAATATGTACTGCAATTTGGGAGTGCTCGAAATCTCTGTAAAAATTGCGAACAAATCATATAAAACTTACAGATGATAATAATTTTTTTGATAAAATAACATAACTACGAATCTATTGTTTCTGTAAAACAAAATCCCGTAATTCGCCATAAACATAAAAAGGGGATTTCCCGAACAAAAAATCTTGATACTTTCATTATTAACTCCAGATCGATTGTAAAAATCTTCCAAAATCCGTGGAAAATATTAAAAAATATTACTTTTTCTTTATACAAAAGACTATTATCATAATTAGTTTTCAGTTTATACTTATAAAAGAGATAAAACTACGCTAAGGCACTAATATATCAACTAAACACTAAATCCTAATTATAATTTAGGTAAAAAAATTGGATAATACCAAAAAAATGGTATAGCCATTACAAAATCGGTGGTCAACAGTCTTTTTTAAATTCGTTTTTGTATGTGTTTTCATGATTTTCTTTTCACATACATTATCATACTGTAGTGGATTTTCTTTAAAAAATTCGCGTTGCATTTTTTTCCAAAAACTGTACTGTGTGTGACTGGTATCGAATTTTCGATACTTACTTTCAATTTCAATAAACCATAAAGGTGAGTCGCATCTTTCAATCGATTTAACAATAATGAACAGAATAAATTAAGCGTTTCGACTAAATTTAGGTAGTTAGGTATTTTTTTAATTTCCTATTACCTAAATAAAAGAATAACCATTTTCATTAATAAAAAATAACATTATTATTTAGAGAATAGAGACATAGTATAAAGAACACAGTAGGTTATCTAAGGCCGCCCGCCGAGTTATTAGCCTACTCTTGCGTTGATCCCCAGGGTTGTCACTTTTACTTTTAGTTAATATTTTCGAACAAGCAGCACTACTTGATCTAAATTTATGAAATGGAAAGCATATTATGATTGAATATTTTATCAATTTATAAATTTAGTAAAAATAAAAAGCTTATAAAAAGATTATTAACTTCTTAAAATAAACTTTAGCTCTATACATAGTATTCAGAAAGTAAATTTGGGAATACATTTATATGGAAAAATGCGACACGGCCACGCTCTTAACAAATCAGATAAACTGTGAAATAAACAATACAATATCACATTTTCTTATAATATTTAAGTACAGTAGGTATTACATTTCTGGTTGAGTAGGAACTATGAAGAATGATAAGAGTAAGAATAAGTAAGTAGGTATCTCATCATCAAGTACCTACAAACTATATTATGCTAGGAAAATTGACTAGCTTACCTTTCCTGTTCAATAGGTAATCCGAACAGAGACAGTTCTAGAATCGATTAATTATTAAGACACCCAAACACACAGCAATACGTTCTTCTACGGTTATCAGACATTTTTTATTTCATTTAACAGTGCCGAAAAGTGATGCGCGCGCGAACCTCGTGCAGTGTTAGCCCTGCCTGGCGCACTGAGAAACGGGTCGAGATTTTGTTAAAGTGTGCGTGCGTCGACGCATAGATACTATGGCGCACACATATAAGCCGCGCGCGGAGCATTTGTATGAAGATAACCTACTCTGTTCTTTATACTATGATAGAGACTATAGTAAAACAAAAAAATAAATTAAAAAAACAACAAATAGAATTTACTAAACGACTCATATTTAGATAGGTTTAGGAAAATGTAACATATACCACATAGGTAATGTATCGAAAATCCGATACCGAACACACGGTACATGTTCAAATCGCATAAATTCCTGTAGTGTCTAAAATAATACTGTTAATAATGTTATAGAAGATACATACATGATATTTTTCGTCCCTTATATTTAAAAGTATGGGTAATGTTCTACATATGAAATGTAACACCCACTTATCATCAGTTATGTTACGAAAATAAAGCTAATTGCATTACATTAATAGTAATTTCAACATGGGACTTACAAAAACTCTTCTACATACATATACTATGTAAAGATTATGTGAATCGGTACAAAAATATACAATATTTTATTATACAAGGTGTAGTTTTGAAACCGACACATTTCTCGGGGGCATGTCACAGAAGTCATAAAGGTTCAATGTAAGAGAAAGTTTCGGGCCAATAGTTAAAAATACGGCTATAATAAATAGTTTAAATTCGACAGTATTTCATAATAAGCGACAGCAATGTTTCTTATTGGAGTTTTATGGAATTAGGAATAATATCAATTACGTGTTTGAGTTTGTGAGTATTAAGCCGTGTTATAAAGCTAGTTACAAGACGGCGGCGTGTAGTTCGCACTTACGGATTTCCGTAATTTGCAAATGAAAAATACTATAATTTTTTTATTGATTCGGACTCAGAATCGGTAGCCGAGTTACCTCCTAGAAAATGACGCGGCTTTAAAACAACACCTTTTATGTTAAACTACAGGTGGGATATATACAATCTATAATGGCAGATACACAACCGAAATTAATCTAAAATCTTTAACAAAATTTCATTCGTTTCAATTTCGGCTGTAAGTTTATTAACAAAAATCTTAATCTGTTGTCTATATATAGGCGGATATTTCACATATATGTATTTCCAGGCATTTTTCATTTACATTTAAACCTATTTTCTTATTTTATTTTCAAAAACATGACCAGCTTTGACGGTACATCTTCAATAGTAGGTTGTTTTAGTATGTACAGTGCCGATGTTAGCATTTAGGTGCTGGGTATCGCTGTTATATTTAGACTTTGTTGACGAAATCCTAGAAAATAAGTATAATAATTGGTATGGAAATTAATAAGGATGATACCTAAGTATATCGCCTGGAGAAGTAACCTTGTTGACACTACATGAGCTGCTGTTTACATGTGAACATTAGCTCATGACGATACCTAAGTACGTGTGTCGCCTGGACAGTCAACCTCGCTACATCCTTGTTGACTGGACATCTACACTACATGAGCTGCTGTTTACATGTGAACATTAGCTCATGACGATACCTAAGTACGTGTGTCGCCTGGACAGTCAACCTCGCTACATCCTTGTTGACTGGACATCTACACTACATGAGCTGCTGTTTACATGTGAACATAAGCTCATGACGATACCTAAGTACGTGTGTCGCCTGGACAGTCAACCTCGCTACATCCTTGTTGACTGGACATCTACACTACATGAGCTGCTGTTTACATGTGAACATTTTTAATTCAACAACAGATTAAAATTGTTAGCTTAAAATATTCAGATGTTAGAAATACTTTAGATAAGTACAAGATAATATTAATTACGCTGTTTTTAACATAGTCTAGAATTATAAGGCTGCCGTACAAGATGATATAATTATGATTCAAAAGTTCTCGTTAAAAATAGTGCAAAAAATATTGTTTAGATCAAAAATCTGCCATTTTAAAAGTGTAATTATTATTATTATAAAAGGTACAGTCTATGCTGTAGTTCTGCCGGAAATTTCTTTATTTTTTGTATGTTGTACAATACACCGTAAAATCTATTCCGTTTTTGCCTCACGGCTTAAAAACTTGCCGTAAGAAGTACGAATACGTAGGAGTTATAATCACGGTTATGGGGTAGACAGAGTTGCACATATATAACATGTAACGTAATTAAAGCACATCCTCAAACACCCCAATTAGAATATTATGTTACAATCATAATACATACACTAAATTTTTAATTAAACATGCATATGCATCCTTACTGGTCTTGTCATAAGGTTTATTTATCTTTATTTTGTATTGAATGATAGAATTTGTATGAATACAAATAAAACTGCGATTTTAAAAGTCTCACTGCTTTGACTTACGGTCCATTTCGATTTGTTTTAACAATACAGGGTTAATATGACAATAATTTCCGTAGTTTTAATTATTTTGGGATAAAAAATTACCTATACTCAAAATTATATAAATCGATTCAGTTCACTATTTTCAGGATGTGCGTTATTTAGGTTACATGTTGTATAGTTTAATAACCACTTTTCACCAGTTATGATTCCCATGTCATAGATTAGGGCTGTCCAAACTAAGGCTTGTTTTCACGTGGGCCGCGACACACATTTTAATCTCAACATCTTCATCTTATGTGCATCAATAATAATAAAAGTCAGTGTATGATTTGTGTAAAAGTTTAGTCTGTGAGTAAAGAATACAATGTCAAACGTCATTATACAACTGGAAATATTTTTCTGGCCCTCCAGCTTTTGTAAGAAATGTAATTAGCCCGCGAGGGTATATAGAATAGACAGCCCTGTTATAGACGACCTATTTTCATTGTATTACAGTACTTATGCTATATAAAGAAAATTTCGAGATCGGAATTTCTACTTTTAGCTAACAAGAATGAATGTTAAGCTTCGATACTGAGATTGAGTAAAATATTATTGTGTATTCGATTATCAAAATTTTCAATAATAGCATACAAGTTTTAAAAGGTAGAAAATAACTGGTGAAATGTTGTTATATAGCAATCTTCATTTCAAAACTATAGACCCCGGCTAAGCTCGAAACCAGTCGAGTAACCTTGTAAAACACATTTAGAGTCTTAAAGAAATTCCCAGCAGTATTTAAATAGCTTAAGCGATATTTTCATCTATAACAAGATTACTATTATCTAAAGACGAACTATCACAATTATATTTATTCGCGACACTCTTAAAATAATCCTCCATATTCGAAAAACTAACCAGTAGTTGCTTTTCTAAAATATTAGCCGCAAAAATGTCTTTATCAACTGAATTCTTTAATAGATTCGCTAAAATCGGATTAGCTTTCAACATCTCTGGTTTTATAGAGTTCAGATCTAAATTCTCCTTACCGTTCGTTGATTGGGCGTCTTTATGAGTCCTTTTATGAAGTAAGAAAACATCTGGATCTTTAAACCATTTGGAGCAATCGTTACATTTGTATGAAGTGTGTTCAAAGTCTGTCCTGAGAGGGTTTGGTGCCTGGGTAGGTTGTAAATCTGGTTCCCTTTCTGTAGGCGATATTGTGGAATTTGATTGGTACGGCTGGGGGAATGGTGGTGGACCTGTAAACGATAATTATACTAATATTATAAAGCTGAAGAATCTATTTGACCATGCTAATCTCAGGAACTGATTGATGTTCATCATAATATTCATTATATACTGGCTACTCCTGTTTCCCTATGCTCGGCTCCTATTAATGGTAGCATAATGTTCTATAGCCGTCCTCGATAAATGTTCTATAGGACGGAGTCTAGAATCGTGCCCGGTATATGGCAATAGGCTCACCCCTTATTACATGGGACTCATAACATAAATAGTGAAAAGTGGGTGTTATATTGTATAGTGGCATTAAGAGCCTGAATGTGCCCTTGCGGGGATAAAAGGCGTGATGTTGTGATTTGTTAATTATATATAATAATATGTATTACCATTAGAAAATCCATTAGCCATGGCATCCTGAACGCTGACAGCTTGCATGGCTAGCATGGTCTGCACATATATAGCTTGAGCGAGCTGTTGCGCCTGCTGGTGTAACTGTAATCAAAACAAACAGTCATTAATATTATTTGTCATCGCTATTAACCTGTGAACTGTCGAAACGCAGATATATGCGAGACATTTTTTATGGCATATACCTAATTCTTCTGTGAGTGTGTATGTCACTGAACTTCTCTCAAACGACTGGACCGATTTTAATGAAATTTTTTGTGTGTGTTCAAGGGAATCTGGTTTAGATTCACAAATCAGCCCAGCAGATGGCGCTGCAGTCGATGTTTAGGTAATTTATCCTAAACAGCTGAACTAATTTAAATGAATTTTTGTTTATACATTCAAGTGGATATGCAGGACAACGTCTGTTGGGTCCGTTAGTGTACTATATTATTAATGGTGTACAAGAAAGTTTATTCTATTCTATTCTATAGTCAATTTACCTGTGGATCTATTGCAGGGACACTGCTGGGTGCCCAGGAACCGGTCTGTCTTCTTGTGTACGGAGCCGGTGTATCTGATGGCAGGTTTTGTGATGGTATAGCATCTTTGCGGAGAGTCCTCCATTGACCTGGAAATTGAAGACGAATTATATTAATGGCAAGTGATGATTGGAAATGAGACAAGGATGATGATAACGGTGTTTAAATGAAATACATATCAAACTAGCCAACCCGGCGATCACCATTTCGCCACCAGATGGCTTCGTTTTATGTAATCATTCATTTCGTTTGGTGATTAAAAGATGAACAAAATTTTTTTTTGTTTTATATTTTATAAACCTCACGGGGCCCGAGACCTTTCCAACGAATGCAAAACTGTGGAAATCGGTTCGTGCGTTCTGGAGTTATAGCGTCAGGAAGGAAAACCCGACTTATTTTTATATTCAAATTCAAATTCAAATTCAAATTATTTATTTGCACAAATATGGGTACATCATGTTGTTCATAGTTTATACAGTCATATAATAATATAGATCGCCATATTCCGGCTTTCGCCATGCAAAGTTAAGTGACAACAATTTAAGTCAAGATAAAAAAGATTAATTTTAAGGTCAAAAATAGTGGGTTTACGTCATAAGGAATAATTATTATTATTAAGTCAGAAAATAGCATATAGGTAAATTAAAGTTTTAAATCTTTGTCGATAAAAATTCTAATATGTCACAAAATCGAATATCATCTATACATAATATTTAATAAAATTGTTACTATCTAAAATACAATTAAAATTTAATGTCATACAGTTACTCATACATTAATAGTGTATCTGTGTGCTCCAGTATTTACATTTCGATTCCGGATATATTGTCCTCTAAAAATTCCTTTATGGAGTAATAGGCTTTTGCCAAAAGTAGACATTTTAATTTACTTTTAAATGAATGGTCGTTTGTTGTTTCCAATAATGTGGTGGGTAAATGGTTGTATAATCTAGGTATCATGCAGAATACACTTTTACTTAGGAGTCCAGTTCTGTTTGGCATGCAGCTTAGTTTTAACTGTCGTCTCCTACTTTTTAATTTTGGAAAGAGATTTGTATTTTGCCTAGCAAACATTATTAGGTCAAAAATATAAATACACGGGAATGTCATTATCTTAATATTAACAAATGTAGATCTACAACTTTCGGTTTGTTTCATTCTGAATATGGCTCTGACGCATCTTTTCTGAGCTCTAAAAATCGCGTCTCTTTCTGCACAATTGCCCCAGAACATTGCACCAAATTTTAATATGGGGGTGACATACCCATGGTATGCCGTAAGAACAGCTGACGTATTGACCGTTCTAGACAACATGTATATTGCGTACGAGTACTGACTAAGTCTCGAGCACAACGTTTCCGCATGCAGCTTCCAACTCAGCTGCGAATCCATCTGCAATCCCAAAAATCTGGTTGTATCAACTATCTCAATCTTGGTCTGCGAGTGGTGAATATTTATGTCATCTACTAACTTGGGAGTCCTATTTTGAAACGCCATTAATTTAGTTTTTTCTAAGTTAACTTTAAGGTTATTTAAAGTCAACCATTGTATGATAGTGGTTAATGTGTGATTTATGTCAAGTTCAATCTGAGTTTTGTCCTTGCCCGTAAATATAATTGTGCTATCGTCAGCGAATAAGACACAGTTGTGATTAATGGCTTTAGGTAGGTCATTTATATATAATGAATAATAATGGTCCCAACACACTACCCTGTGGCACACCAAATTTATTTTCAATAAAATCTGATTTGTAAGTTTTTATTTCTTTGGAAATAGAGCATATTCTAGTTATGTGTGTTGACTGTTTCCTATTGCATAGATAACTCTTTATAAGGTTATGTACATTACCTCTAACCCCATAAGCATATAATTTCTCAAGCAAGATAACATGATCAACATAATCAAATGCTTTTGTTAAGTCCATATAGAGCGCATATGCATGACTTTTTGAATCGATGCTAACCATAATGTGTTTCAAGAATGAGTAAATTGCCAAATTGATACTTTTGTTTTCCTAAAACCTACTTGTTCCTTAGTGAATAGGTTATTAGTTTCAAAGTAACTGTATAATCTTTCGTGAATCACCTTCTCAATTACTTTGGATATAACAGGTACTAACGCTATTGGTCTGTAACAGCCCATGTCATTTTTATCATTTTTTTTGAATAAGGGTTTAATAATAGTCTTTTTTAATATTTCTGGGAAGACACCCTGGTAAATGCAAATATTAATAACATGCCCGAGTACATGCGATATTTTATCAGAAACGTGTTTTAAGACTTTGGTAGTAATGTCATCATATCCTGTACTATTAGTCGATTTCAAGTTTGTAATTATTTTGTGTATTTCATTCTGTGTAACAGGTGCCATAATAAAGATTTTGGTGCAATATCTATACATGTAGGTGCTTTGTTAGGTTCCAATTTTGTAATTTGGTTAATGAAATATTTGTTAAAACTATTAGCAATCTCTAAGGGGCTTTTAATTGTGGTTCCATTGGTGGTTACTATCTGTTGTATTTCCGGCTTTGGTAAGTTAATCTTGCTTCTATTAATAACATTCCAAGTTGCCTTACATTTGTTTCGAGCATTGTTTATATAATGGTCATTTTTAGATTTTTGTGTAAGGTTAATTATACGTTTAAGCCTTGAGGATAGCGTTGTAAAGCTTTTTCTATTGATTTCGGTCTTGGTTTTACGATATTGCCACAGAAGTTGGCGTTTACGTTTGCAGCACTGCTTTATACCCTTGGTGATCCATGCTGCTTTCGGTTTTAAAGATATTTTTATACGTTTTATAGGGAAACATAGATAATAGAACGTACTAAACAAGTCATGAAACATATTAAAAGCGATATTAGGCTCATTACAATCAAAAACCTCATTAAAACTTAAAGCATTTATACATTCTCTAAATTTACTTAAATTTTCTTTACTAAATATATATAGTAGATAACTTTTATTTGTTAACATAGGTGGGGTAGTTTCCTAAATTTTATTTTAATGTCCGTCTTGTAGATGAATTTTAAACTTTAGACACGTATTTTTTTTTCTAACAAAATTAAGTACTTTCGACGATATATTCATTTGAAATATCGTGTGACGTCACAGCGTGCCACTCCTAAACTTCGCGCTATTTTATCTAAGTATTGCAACTTAATATAAGGAAATAAAAAAATTAATGTCTAGTATTTTTTCATTCTTTAACTGACGGACTAATTAGATTTTTAATTTTGATACCCTGGAAACTATTCAATTCTGCTGTACATGTCATTGAACTCCTCCTAAACAGCTTGACAAATTTAAATGAATTTTTCTGTACGTGTTTGAGTGGCGCCCAGGATAGTTTAGATTCACAAATCAGCCCGGTAGATGGCTAGCTAGCTAATTTGAATGAATTTTTGTTTAAACATTAAAGTTGATATGCAGGACAACGTTTGTCGGGTCCGCTAGTATAGTGTAATAAAATAGAGCGCTGTGCTATGCAGGGTTTATAAAAAATTCTCAGTAGTAGCATGGAGTCTGAAATTGTGTCCGGTATATGGCAATAGGCTCACCCCCTATTACATGGGCCTCGTAACATAAATAGTGAAAAGTGGGTGTTACATTGTACACTGGCATAATGTGCACCTCCGCCTACCCCATTGGACCGCCTACCCAATAGGACCTCTCAAGTAGTTTGGTGGGGTAAAACAGTTGGTCATTAAAGTTAAATGTGGAGAGCAACCTAGAAACTCTATGGTTACTCTCAGGCACTGCACAAACGAACTAGGAGACTCAGTTCTCCGGGACAAATGGGAATATGCTTAAACCTGCTACATGTTGCGCGGCGGGCGATTGCCTAACCACCGCGCCAGTTACGCGCCACACGTAGCGTAGCGTCGCTTCCCATCGCGTCGCATCTGTGTAAACTGACGCTAACTGTAACTTTTTTTTAATATTAACTTTCTCATGACTAAAATTAACACAAGTGTCGAATTATCTGACTTTGTGTAGTCATTTGAGAGTTAAATTTGTAAAAATATTTTACAGATTCATTTTTAATAATCTTATACTCTTATATTATAATATAAAGCTGATGAGTTTGTCTGTTTGTTTGAATGTGCTAATCTCAGGAACTAGAGGTCTGATTTCAATAATTCTTTTTGTGTTGGATAGAGCATTTATCGAGGAAGGCTTTAGGCTATGAAATATCACGCTACGACCAAAAGCAGTAGAGCAGAGTGTGTGAAACCGCGGGGAAGTAGCTAGTTTAATAAATTATTATATATATTATTGTAAGGTAGATGTCTATATTTATTTCTACGTATAATATACTTAGATAATAATCTTACTAATATTATAAATACAAAACTTTGTGAGTTTTGAACAAGGCTATATTATGGTCTGGTATAACACACAGGCTACTTATTTTCCTACAGGAATGCTGGTAAAGCCACTGGTACAAGCAAGCATCTCAATAAATATAATCGGAGTAATCTTGCTGTGTTTAAAATCAATCAGGATTGATTGGTTGATAGGTAGTTGGGAAAGTTAACATAGATTAGGATATCACATTAAGGTTGATGAAGGGATCTGGATGAGATGAGATTTGGTAGAGATAGATAATATAGCTTGGAAGTAAATGTAGGTTATGATTCTTCAAAATAATATTATGTTCCTGTGGGATTATTTTAAATTAAAAATAACATGGGTATCTCGAGTAAGTTGCTGAGGTATAAAATTAACATGCAGTAGAAAATGTTACTAGAAGTTAATTGAGACATTAAATAAGACCTTTTTTGAAAAATAACTAGACTACATATCTTTTTAATCATAATAAGAATTAAAATCAAAAAAATTAACATTAAAGTCTTTAGAACAAGCAAACCATCGATTCCTAGTATCAATAAACAGTAAGGATGTAGATAAATACCTCGTAATTAAAGATTCACAGATAATTTATACCACGAAAAGATAACAGATTATTATCGTTGATAAAATAGCATAAGACAACAAAATAAATAAGGTTAAAGCGTTAAAAACGATAGTACTATTTAATGACAATCGTGAATCGTAAAGAAAATAGCGAGATATAAGTAGGTAAACATAATTAAGAGTGTGTTATGCATCTAGTTATACGTAGTTAAAATAATACGTCTAAGGTACTTACCTTTATTCTTTCCTGCGCTTGTTATTGTGTAATCTTCTTGCTTGAAATGTAGACTGCACACTTTAGAGTACTTCGTGTATGGTTTTCCCCGTTTCAATATATCGTTCCATAGTTTTGCAAGCTCTTCATCCCTTGGAAATTGGTGAAATGAAACGTTTTTCACCTTTCCGGCCATTGACGTGCAACGCGGCACTGTGCAGTAGTAAGGCATCTTTTTACACCGAAACTAGTTCATACACGAATTAACATAACTTAGCAATTATACTGTTATTAAAACAGTTGATTTTTATAGAAAAACAAACAAAACTTCGCGCATAAACACCAAGCTGAGACATTTAATCATAGTTGAAGGAACGATTGGAATGTTGCCAGCTTGTATGCAGAGTCAGTTTGTCTATGCCTAATAATCGCCTAAACGTTTCGAATCGATTAAAATTATAATTCACTTTTTACCAAGATTATTAATTCTTAATACTTTCAGAATGCTTGAGTACCTAAAAAAACCTACCTAATAAATAAAACTAATTTGAAATTATGAGTTTTCAAAATGATTTTAGTCGATTATGAAAAAGCATATCGATCAAGATATATAAGTTTGCATGAAAAGAAACGACGTCAAAACAAAGTCTATGGTCCATAAAAGTGGCCATTTTTTTTTGAAAAAAAAAGTGGGAAGGGAAAAATAGATGTCAAATATTTCAAGGCTACAGTGTGATGATTCCATTTTTTTCCAAACCAACGTGATAACGTTTTCAACAAATAAAATAAATAACATAGTAGTGTCCGGGACTAGAGGTTACAATCCAATTCGATGTGTTGTGTTCGTTTCGCCGACTGTAAACATTCAAAAGTTTGGGGAACCAAGTAAGAAAGGAAGATGGGATATTATTGCACTGTCCCGCAATGCACGTCGCTCGCCGGCAAGACGAAAAACGTGAAATTTCATCGGTTTCCTCGTGACGTGACTATGGCAGACAAATGGAACTTGATTCTGAAGCGAGGCAAGCCGTATACGAAGTATTCAAAAGTTTGCAGTCTTCATTTCACCCAGGCCGATTATAACGTCACAACTATGGGTAAGAATAAAGGTATTTCGGGTTTTTCCATCTCTGCTAACAACATTAATAATATTTCCTTGGCCGATGACTCATAAGTTTCACCAGTTTATTTGTTTTGCTTCTTTTATGGGTCTCAATGCATTTCCATAGTGTCAGTAACCAAACTTTTTATATTTCGTATGTCTGTTGTGGCACTGGCATGATCATTATCGCAATTGTTGTTTTTTTTGCATAATTTTGGCGGACAATGAAAAATGATGTGGTCATTTGACCTGAGATCTGTTGTCTTTGATTTGAAGAAAAAAAGTAATGTGTAATGCAAATTTTCGGATTTGAATGTTATTTGGTTATTCTAATTGGATTGTTATTGGAATATTTGTTGCTTGCATTTTAACCTAGACATGTTTATAAATAATATACTAACACAGTAACACACTTTGCATGCTTAGTTTTGACCATAAACATGGCGAACAAATTTTATTTTTAAGTTTAGAAGACAAAGGTTTTATTCGAATTTATTCTCCTACAAAGAAAAGTTTTAAACCGAAAACTTCCACTTAAAAACTTTTAAAACGGACACCAAATCGTCAGATTTTATAAAAAAAACAATATTTTATATGACTAATACTATACTTCCTGTAAAAAATTACGACTAGCTGATTGTTATTGATTTCCTACATGATATAAGTTAAATAATTAAATAATAATTGATAAAATAAATTATATATCCACTCATAGTTTTATCACTTGCTTAATCTGTCAAACACCAAGCGGTCACCGGTGACCGCGACCTATTGTTCTTTAATTGTGTCTATAAAACCGGTACTCGACGAGTTAATATAAATACAATTTTCAATTTCTTAATTTTAATACAACTGTAAGAACTTCTCAAAGTCAATTCATCCAAAATATAAACATTATTTTTTCTTGTAACAGTTTGTTGCGAACTGTAAAATTTTTGGTAACTTAATTTAAAAGCTTAATTTGAGATTTTTTTTCAAATCAAATGTAATCAAATGGCTTTATTTGCTGAAGAGAGGTGTAGTACATAAAAGCTGCTTTTTAGTAACTATTTCCAATTGTGTAGAAAAATAACAATTTGTCAAAGTCAAATCATTTATTCTAATTACAGTTAGACCAATAAACCACTATAGGAAACCTAAACCAAATATTAAAAGTGAAAAATTTGTGTCAAATAGTCCCACTGTGAAACTATTTGCTATTTCTAAACAAATTATATAACTAGATAGTTTAATCTACTAGTTTCCAATTTAATATTAAACTGTCAAACACCAAGCGGTCACCGGTGACCGCGACCTATTGTTCTTTAATTGTGTCTATAAATACAGTACTCGACGAGTTAAACTGTCAAACAATGCGAGGACGGTACTCAAAGGGTTAAATAGCAGGATTCTAAACAGTCTGTGGTCTGGTTCCACCACTTAGATTTACTTCACATTATCAACCTAAAAGTGGTCACTACTGAGCAAACACCTCGTCTTACACGGAGACGGTTTGAGTATTAATCACCACGCTTGCTCAATATGGGTTGGCGATTTCAAACATATAAGTAGAAAATAAGCCCAGGTTATCACAATGTTTTCCTTCACTGTAAGTCAGTGGTGTCAAAAAGAGTATCAAAATGAAGTTACTTGCTCATTCTTCTCCATTGGAAGCTAATTTTTGGAACAAGCGCCTAGCTTTACTGGCGGATAGACTGAGAGACTATTATTTATTTTGTATTTTTTGATGTTTCAAATGTACCAAATTATGGTTTAATTGAAATAAATAAGTTTGAGTTTAAATTCGCTTGTGTAGCGGATTCTAATGAGTCACTTTACCACTTTCGGTGGTTGAGTTCCGTTTTTGGTGAATAATTTTCAATATGAATTGTGTCAAAACAGGTGTCCCTTAAGCTAATAACATACTTGTTATTGTTCAGCAATGGTGAAATGGTGATAGTCTGAATTTTAACGAATTAAGCCGTTGTGTATCAGAGTATGGATTGATGTGAGACTTATTTTTATTTCATTCTCATTTACAGAGAGTCAAGTGGTCAATTCTATATTATTTGATATTCTAACATTTAATCATATTTGTGACTGTGTGGTGGTCTCGACCAGTACCTTTGTTTTAACCTTCGGGCATGCGGACGGCGAGCACGAGTAACTGGCCGCCTGATCAGAACCAGACCCGAGCGTACGGCCGCTTAAAGAGTCATAAAATCACTACAGATGGGGCCCAACAGGGCCGATACGGAACCGCAGAGGACTTAACGGGTTACCGGGGCTCCGGCTCGAAGGCCAGGAGTAGGAACGGGGTGGTTTATAGTTAGTAAGAGTCTGGCACTCCCTCTCGCCTCACCCGGGTCGAAGAAGTCATTGAACGATTTTCCCCCCTCAAAATTTTGCCGTACGCGTGCAAAAAACGTTAATAACTATTACAACAACAGCTCGATAGGCTTGCTCTTTTAGTAGCTGCCTGCCCAGGTTATAAGCAATGCGTGCTGAAAGGTTTTGACGCTGTAAAAAGGCTGGGGACCGGTTGAGAAGAAGGTTGTTACCACCAGATATAGCTGGGTAGCAAATTGCTCACCGCGCACCCCCTGACGATTCGCAAAAAGGCGCACTCACTCTCGGTGTAAATATTTTAATAATATTCAAGTTCCATAGCTTCTGCCTAATCCAATGTGAGACAGGCATGAGAATGTTTATTGTATTGTATGTATGTACATTTATTGTACCTTCAGTATCACCTAAATTAATGAATATATCTCTTATCCCGAGTTACTTGTGGCCAGCGCCATACCTGGCTTCATCCATTTTCCGAAGACCTGCCCTTAACGAGATCCGTAAAATAATTTTCGAAATCTTATACTCATGAGAGAGAGCCATGTTTCGACACGAATGGGTCGGTTGGACTGGAGTAATACTACGGTCTCACAATGTACAGGCGTGATACACATACAACGCTTGCATTATGTTGCACTTGTGCCCGGGTGTCATCACTGCGAGGACCGCCCTGAGGACACGGTGGAACACACTGTTGCGGAATGCCCTGCGTGGGCTGAGCACCGCCGTGCCCTCAGGGAAGTGATCGGCGATGGCGACCTCTCGCGTCCGGGCCTAGTGCAGGCCATGATGCTGAGCGAGGGGGACTGGGATGCCGTCTCCTCCTTTTGCGAAGCAGTCATGCTAGCTAAGGAGGAGGCGGGACGCATGAGGCAGCGAAGCGCTGCCTCCTCGCAACCCAGCCATCGCGAAGGACACACCGGGCGTCGGGGATCGCGGGACGATCTCCGGCCACCGTAAGCGCGGGACTGCTGACGGCGAGTGGCTCCTCGTCCGACCAGAAACAGACCCGAGCGTACGGCGCTTAGCGTTCCGCGCGCGCCTCAAAGAGCCATCAGACCACCACAGATGGGGCCCAATAGGGCCGATGCCGATTCGGAGTCGCGGAGAACCTAACGGGTAACCGGGGCTCCGGCTCGACGTGCAGGAGAAGGAACGGGATGGTTTTTAGTCAGTAAGAGTCTGACACTCCCTTCCGCCTCACCCAGGCGGGAGCAGTAATTCGATGACTTTCCCCCCTTAAAAAAAAAAAAAATGTTGCACTTGTACCTGTGGTGATCTGTCTGATCGTTTCCCGCCTTTACCATAAAAACGTGGTTGTTACGTACGAGACGTGCACCTGTGTAATTACTTTGATATAATACTAATTAAGTAATTTCTAATCTCTTTCTCAGTTCTTTAGAGTATTGTGTATCATTATTACACTTAGATAACGTGTAAACGTAAATATATCAGTTTTTTTTATTTATAGTATTGACACAGGTGTGCGAAGATATTTATTCACCATCCTGTGTTGACATTAAGAAATTTTTAATAGGTATTATTGTGGACAGTAGCATAATTATCATGATATACTGAGAACTGACATACAATACATAATACATACATACTCTGTATCCCATGGGGATCCCAGACTATGGAACGCCAATTGCTACGATTCCTACATACCTCTTTCGCTTCATCAATAGTCATCAGTCTTTTCATGCATGCTCGTCGGTTAAGGGTACTTTTAATTTGAACCTTCTTTAATATATCGCCAATCTGATCAATATACTGATGTATGTGTAGTTAAATTAATAACA